AACTTGTGATGGATAACTTGGTGGTATTGTAACTTGTGATGGATAACTTGGTGGTATTGTAACTTGTGATGGATAACTTGGTGGTATTGTAACTTGTGATGGATAACTTGGTGGTATTGTAACTTGTGATGGATAACTTGGTGGTATTGTAACTTGTGATGGATAACTTGGTGGTATTGTAACTTGTGATGGATAACTGGGTGGTATTGGAACCAGTGATGGGTAACTGGGTGGTGATGTGACTTGTGATGGGTACCTGGGTGGCATTGTAACCAGTGATGGGTAACTGGGTGGTGTTGTAACTTGTGATGGATAACTTGGTGGTATTGTAACTTGTGATGGATAACTTGGTGGTATTGTAACTTGTGATGGATAACTTGGTGGTATTGTAACTTGTGATGGATAACTGGGTGGTATTGAAACCAGTGATGGGTAACTGGGTGGTGATGTGACTTGTGATGGGTACCTGGGTGGCATTGTAACCAGTGATGGGTAACTGGGTGGTGTTGTAACTTGTGATGGATAACTTGGTGGTATTGTAACTTGTGATGGATAACTTGGTGGTATTGTAACTTGTGATGGATAACTTGGTGGTATTGTAACTTGTGATGGATAACTTGGTGGTATTGTAACTTGTGATGGGTACCTGGGTGGCATTGTAACCAGTGATGGGTAACTGGGTGATGTTGTAACTTGTTATGGGTACCTGGATGGCATTGTAACCAGTGATGGGTAACTGGGTGGTGTTGTAATTTGTGATGAGTAACTGGATGACATTATATTCCAAAACTGAGAGAACAAGTCAAGACATTTATAAATAACATTATGTATGTTTACATCCTTCTTTTGGAGATATATTTATTACCATATTTTTTCAAAACATTTGAATAAAAAACCATAGTCAATATTTAACACCTCGATCAAACTGAGAGAAATTTTGGAGTCTTGAACGGTGATCAAATATCCAACTCGAATTATGTATATCTTACAAGAGGCAAGGGGCAAGGGGGTAGATGGTACAGTTTTACGGGAAATAAAAAGGGCTTTTTACAGTTTACAAGGAAAAAAGACATTTTTATAGTGAAAATTGAATTTTGCAGTGTCATCTAGTCGTTTTACAGTTTCGATAATGTAATTTCCTTGAATTATTCTTCACGGCTTTTTTTTATTTGGATGTAAATTCTTGTACGTACCGAGAAGAATGACACATTTTTACAGTGTACGAAAAAATATTTGATTGATTACGTCGTACGTCTAGTCTGTGATTACAGAATTACGGAATTTATTTTTTCAATTTACGTTGTACGAACAAAAAAATATCGTAATTAATTACGTTGAACGAAAATAACCTTTGCCCCCCCCCTCTCACAAGTTGATGGCGCGCTGACTATTTCCACACCGAACAAACCAAGTACTTCAGTCAACATTATAAAACACTATATAAATAAAATTGTAGAATAAACACACCCAGCTATCGAGAAACTAGGAAAAATGAGTAATTCAAAAATATTTCCGGTAATGATATCAACAAACACAGGAATCAGTACGTTCAGTTACAATGTCCCATCAGGTGACCTGTTACAATGTCATCCAGGTACCCATCGCCAGTTACAATGTCATCCAGGTGTCCGTCACCAGTTACAATGTCATCCAGGTACCCATCATAAGTTACAATGTCATCCAGATACCCATAAGTTACAATGTCATCTAGGTACCCGTCACCAGTTAGTCTGATGCAATGGCATGTTTTCAATTAATTTAAGTGAAACAGATATATGTATATAAATTACTCTAAGTGAATATTCTAGCCGTAATTGTATGACGCCATCTACGTTGTGATTTTTGCAACTAAATGCGCAATGCAGCGACGTCACATACCAAATAAGGTGTTTCTGTATGAACACCTCTGAAGATAGCTTTCTGCGTGCGTGGTATTGGTCTTAGACCGCTAAACGAATTCAGAGTGCTGGTGCCCTAAATTAAACATGAGATGGATTATAGCGCTGACGTGGCTCGTTGAACTCTCGGACCCCTTTATTTCTATGAATGCGGCGTTGGAAAGAAACCCCCCCCCCAACCATGACTGTTTCATTTCTACTATTTCTTTGTGTTGGGCACGAATTTGGTTAACTCGTTTTCTGCATGGTTTGCTCTCAATGTCCAGTCCGAGATAATTGCAGTGTTAAGTCCCCCCCGAAATCTGTTCGCAAAACTGCCGGTTCTGGGGGTTTTAGAGTTCCCGATGACATACATGTGTACCCTACTTACTGGATTGAGATAGTTTAATAATATTATTCCAAAGGTAGGGCCATTCACTGAGAAAGCCTTCGTCATGACAGGCTCCTAGAACCGGACCCTGTAACCTGGCATTGTGTTATCAGCTTTATGCAGCGAGTCTCGAATGGGAAAGTGCAAGTGGATTCCATATAATTGCGTTATCGCAAATGAGACCATTTCTTGTGCAAAAATGAGGGTCCGTCTCTTGTATTGGGGGCCAGGAAACAGAAGTAACACAACCCCTGCCTGTTAATATAAAAATCGCTATAAATTATACTGAAATTGTTTTGCGGATACCTGTAAAGGCAGGGTATATATCATAGCGCGCATTCCAGGACTTAACACGTGATGCAGGGTTCATTTCGTAACTACAGCGATGCGGCGTTAGAGATTAAAACCAGTGCGAAAGGGGGAAACAAAAGAACACCTCGTAATGTCGTCAGTGCAATTTTTAATTTGAAATTATGCATATAATTCCAATTTTGGTGAAAGTTCATATGTAAAAACAAATGTGACTTACAGACACAAATAAATTAACAAAGCAGCAAAGGTTGTTTACGATGTCTATAAATAGAAAAGTTGGAATTAATCACGTAAATATAGAGGTACTTACAATGTTCAAATTATTAGTACTTGTTATAACAATTGACCATTAACTATTAATAATAATAATATTCACAAGGTCAAAAATCTATGATAATAACTACATGTAGTACTACATAGTGATGGTGGTACCATCTCACCCGATGCTTTCTCAAAGTTGTGATGAATATAATTTTAAACCGTTGCTTTCTGATAACTACAAACCATTCAACAAATGGCATTACCATATTAAATGAATTTTGTTTGATACTCCAATCTGATAAAAGTATATATACTATGGTATAATGCACAAGTTAAAACACTATATTGGCTACAAACACTGCAGTTTTTATTTAAAGCGGGAGGGTCGTCCCAAAAGTTCCAAGCTACGATAACAACACACGCTAAAAACGCAAAGGTTCATGGACAGACGCTTGTTTGTAAACAATAACACGCTATGGCCATCTGACGCATGCGCAGGTGACAACTCCCCCCGCTTTAATAAAATACGGATAACACGGGGAACGCATGCGCATTACAGATTTACCGTATTTCTTCGAACGACTGCTTCTATGTCAACGGGCAAGCATGAATAAAATATATTCGTTATGTTATTATCAAAATGCATTAACAAAAACAATTATTTAAACATGATAAAAACAATGATATTCATATTGAATCTAAATGCAGCTTTTGCAAATGGTATTTTAATCAGGGCACCAATCACTTACCGATCTTACCATACACACTTAGATGTGCTCCCACGTGTTCAACACACCACAAATACAACCATGTTAGCCCATGTTAGTCTAGATATGAGCTATATATATATTACCGCCGTGTGAAACGTATATGCTCGATCACAGTTCATGTTGGGGGACTGTGGCTCGATAAATAATAATGACACATAACATCTCTCGGAAATGGTGAAAGGAAGAAAGACAACACACAAACGAAGGTGTGAATTGTTCAGGAGGTTGACTTGTAATCTGACAGGTAGGCGTGAATAGCGCCCTCGACGGCCAAAAGGCATCAGACCTGTGTATGGAACACCGCGGAGGCCGCAACTCACGCGACCGTGTCAGGCGTTGACTTGCTGCTCATTAGGTATTCAAATTTATTTCGAATTAAATGAAATTTATCGTTGATTTTGTGTGTATGAGTTTAATACAAATCGGTTTCTCGACCTGCTTCCGTTTATTAATACATTGATCTGTGGATTTTAAAGTATGTTTGCAAAGTGCACTACTAGCAATGTTGGTTGTTGTCATGGGGACCCAACACCTTGCGGCTTGTTGCACGTTACAGACACCAATGCATTTTGTCCGATAGGTCATCTGAGCTCATATGTATGCTTCGGTGATTAGGGTTTAACTTTAAATCGCCCAGATCTTTCTGGAAATAGACCCATATGCAATTATTTTAATGTCTGTAAAATATGCCATTTAACTAAGAAACATCCCCGTGATGAGATTAATAATGAGATTAATAATGCGATTACTAATGAGATTAATATTCATAATTAATATTATTATGATAGAAATGAACATTTTGCTATAAAAACACACATAATAGTTTTTAACGTCAAACATGTGTGCAATAGACACTCATTATATCAACGAAACAACATAAACCAAGGTACGTGTACCATGATTACATTTCAAATCGTAGAACAATGTACGCTCTACATGGGACGTTAAATGTGCGGTGACTTTGCAGTTATTTGTCATCTCTGTTTAAACACGGTGCATTGGTATACATTTGACTACAAACACAAATACCCCAACCCTCTTTTAAGACACCCCAAAGGCTCCTTACATTCCTTTATACACTGAGTACGATTGTTGTATTAAATCCTTTTATGTGTGGACGTACCTGCAAGCGTTACCTGGAGAAGCGCTTTGATAACCGGGCTAGAATAAGCATACTATGCACTTGGCTTTTGGCAAAACATGGCCTAATTTTGCAGCTGTCCCTATGATCGCAGACCGACAATACTGACTCGATACATGGGGATTTTCTCGATTGTTTAGCGTCCCCACGACGGTCGAAATTAACCCTGCCGAAGAAAAAGGAATAGGTAGCATGAACCGCAGCTATAAATGTGTGGTGTGTCCTAGGCCCTTTAATTAAATATATGTTTTAAAGATCGTAAAGAAGTGTGGTTTTACTGGAAGCTCCATCAAAATAGCGCAATTTCACAGCGGACAGAGTAATTTGTTATAAATCGCTCAGTGAGTGCGTAAACTGTTTCTACCAGCTTGTGGAAAGTGGAAAACACTTACAAATCACTATTCTGTGAAATGAAATTTTGTGGATGACGCGAGTGCAAAACCATGGTCGTCAATTTCATTATTCTCGCTAAGTTACCTAGTCTTATTCAGTCCTATTGGCCGTTTACGGTACTCGCTTTTCATTATGCTTCTAATGTACATATGATGTGTTTGGACTACAACAGTGCAAAGTGTGTAGACACCAAATAGAGAGGGAAGTAGATACTCAAGCTTGAGTAGAATTCACACCATCGATGTAGCGTCTACGTGACCCATGAAAAGGTCTCGCTAAATGCGAGTCCCGTGGAGTTTCGAGAACGATCTCAAAAAATGGCCACGCTATGTTTGAATACTAATAGGCAACCAGAAAAACGTGCCGTTTCTAGTCCGTGCTGATACCACGTACGACAGTCTATTCAATCACAGAGCTCCATGGTTTAATGACAATTTAAATGTAATAATGGGTGATATCATTGGCATAGATGTATGTTTACTTCTT